CCCCAAAACCCCAAAACCCCAAAACCCCTTTTTTCTCAGTATTAATTGATGTCATTAATTATTTTCTTTATCTTGTACGAATATTTTCCTTAATCATTGTAACCATTCTGCTAGATCTTGGGTCCTTTTGGTGCTGAAGAGCAGCCTCTTCTCAGCCAAGAACCATTCTCCCTCCCTACTACTCCATGAAGAGTTTGTGTTAAGAGTTTGAGTCTTGCAATCCATCATGAATGGCTTATTAGATTGGAGATTACTCTTAAGGATATTTAGCCTCTCTTCAACCTGGCTAGTAGCCTCAGCTTTACGCTCAGTGATATCTCCATAATATTCCTCTTCAGGGATTGACTTTGACTTAAGAAATTCCTTCATAATTTCAGTGATAATTTCATCCTTATAATTCAACTCGAATTGGTTCTGGCCTAAAAGCTCTGAATCATAGTTTTTCTTGCTACTATTGGGAATTTTGAAGCGACATTTCCTAACATTTTTAATAACATATAAGGGGATTGCCACTATCGGCTTTGAGCCGAATCCTTTTGCACTCATTTGGTTCTTGTAAACTCGGAAGACCTAAAACAAAGATTCACTCAGAAGGCTTACTTTGGTTGTGAGTTGGCACCATCTGGTGATATAAGTTTTGTGCAATCCTGGCTTGTAACGGTACAATTCTCCTTCCTTAATAATAGCCTGGTTAGGATCACATAGCTCGAAAATGTTCATTCCAAGACCAGTAAACCAAAGATCTGTGGCGAAGAGGTCTCTATGAATCTTGACTTCTTTCTCAGCCTTAGCTTCAGATTTGTCTTTAGATTTTAGCTTATTGTTAAACACCATGACATTCTCCGCATGAAAAGTTTCTTCAGATAGTAAATTTTCAACTCTTTTCTCCTGGTAATTAGCAACACCATTTGTAAGAGAGCCCAATACGTAGTTTGACTTCTCTATCTGCTGGTTTCGTATAGAGTCATTGTTGACCTCTGACAAGGGATTTGCAAGCGATATGTTATGATCTATAGACGATATCAGCATTTTGGGGTCTTTAAGCACTCGAAATTTGGTTCAGTAATTTCAGCTTACCGTATAATTTATTTTTCAGGAGTTGGATCTATTTTATACTCTGGTTGGAGATACTCTGAGGAAGCCAACACTCAGGACTCGGTTATTAAGGTCTCTTTTTCTTCAACTATGATTTGGGTGTAAGTAGGCTGTTCATCTTCTTCTTCAGCTGCAATGTTCCGAGGAGTATCGATCTCATTGCAGATCTCTGAGCGTTTAGAAGCAGGGAGATCAAGTGTTAAATGAGGCTTTGTTAATGAAAAATCTATTGTATCACCCTTCAACTGCCTTGAAGAGTTAGGTTTAAAGCTATTTTTAGATAATTTCAGTCCATTCTCTTTCGCCTAAAACTCATAATTAACTCAATTTTCTAAAACATGGTAGATCTGAAACACTCATCTATCCACTCTTAACTTACTTTATACCACTCATATGCACTCTCAAGCTGATCTGAGACCTTGCTTTCTCAGGTTTCATGAGGAAGCTCAAGGTTTTCTTCTCCTTCCTTAAATTGGCTATTCTCATTGCCCATTTTTAACAGCTAATTTTTAATTTTTCATATTAAACAGCGTCTGAGGGGTTTTGGGGTTTTGGGGTTTTGGGG